TAATAAAATTTGTAATTTCATCAAAAAAATAAAAATAAAGTTTATGATATTCGCTTGCATACTACTTGAACTTTTACTTATAAAATGAATTATTAACTTTGTTTCCGTAAAATTCGTAATATAAAAAGATAATAGTTTATTTCACAAAGGTTCATATGTGGCTAGTCACAGCGTGTGGTCGGGATTACTTGGTCAGGAGTTATTTGGTTGGTCAAGGGTTACTCAATCGATTAGAGGTTACTTGGATGATTAGGGGTTACTCGGTCAGTGTTTGGGTGTGTCTCAGCCGGCCACACAATGTGGTCAGCCACACAAAAAAAGCGTTGATTTTATTTTTATAATTAATATAAATTTTTGATCTAAAATAAATTGCAATTCTTGTTTTTTCTTATTAGCTAAAATATAACATTTTCCTATGTGACATTATTAAAATCTTACATAGGGCTTAAAAGAGAAAAAAAAAAAGCTAAACATACGTGGAAAAATCATGTTGTAGCATTTTAAGAATACTAATCCTAAGTGACGCTCTAATAATTATTTAAAAATTAAAATCATACATGGCACTCTAAAAGCTCGGAAAAAAAACTCCCCTTTATTTATATAAATTAGATTAAAAGTCATCTTTATTCTCTTCAATTCAATTCCTTATGTTTTAATTTTTCTATTTAGAACTTATTGGAGATGTATATTTCTAGACTGAACTCAATATCTTTTTACAATTCAGTGACTAAATCTAAGTAATAGCTCAACTAATGTTTTCAACATTTCACAACTACATTTTAAAATAGTTTAAATAAAATATTACTCAAATAAATATAGGGCATAGAAGCCATTGGTAATAATTTTTTTTCAAAGGGTTAGCCATACCGTGCACATTGGAATCCCTAGTAAGTTAACATATTTTTAAGAGATAAACATTCAATGTTTAAAATTGCTCAGAATAATCACTTGCTATATTTTTTGGATGTTTATTAGAGAGCCACAAGGGTGGGTTGATATGCCACTCTTAGGGTAGTGTTTTGCTTTGTTTTAGCATGTCTTTGATTGTTTCATAGTTTTTTTGTTCAAATAATGCATGCATTCATGTCTCGTTGTGTTTTGAATGAAATCGCTTATGTGCTTGAATGTTTGCCTTTATTGCGTGTTCGCACCGTAACCCCTACACCTTATTGTTTTTTTTAGTATTTATGCTTAAGTTTTTAAAGTCAAGAATTGCAAAGAAGAAACCAAGGAAGCACGAGAGAAGAATCGAAGAAATCAAGGTGCGAGGGCGCGGATGACTCGAACATAGGCGCGCAATAGCGGAGAAGCACCAAAGCCAGCTGAAGTGACGCGACGTGGCTGCCGTGGTGCAGTAGTGGCCGCCGTTCCACGTTGCATGCTGACGTGTCGTGGCGACTATTTTTACCGTGTCGTGGCGGCTGTTGCTAATATGTGGCAGCTAGTGCCATGTCGCAGTGCCTCTACCGTGGCGCATCAAACTTCATCTTCTGTGTGGGCGCGCAGCCCTGTGAGAAGGCATGCATAGGAAGCAAAATTTTGGAACTTGAGGCAGAATGTTTGTGTGCGGGCGCACAACAACAGTGTGCGGGCGCGCAACTACAATGTGAGAAGGCGCTACGCATCAGCAAAACCGTGCAACCCACGAATACGCGGGCGCGCATACCTTTGTATGCGGGCGCATGCCGGACCTCAGTTCAGCTTATTTCTGCGGCTCTATAAATATTATGTGAGGCTTATTTTTATACAGATATTAATTAGACTTCTTCTACTAGTATTCTTTTTAGATCTCTTTCTCTAGTTTCAGGAGAGCGGCTCTCTCTAGGTTTAGCTTAGGATTAGAGTAGTTTTAGAGAGAGAAAGTGAGATATCTTCAATAGTGGGATTTGGAGCTTGAAGATTCAACTTGTGACAATTATTTTGGAGATCTCTTTATTAAATCAATGAGAATTTCTTACCTTATCTCCTCTATTTTCATTGTTTTCTTTTGATTTTGCTTTGTTGATTGCTTGCTTATCATGTTGATGCTTGTTAATTTGTTGATTAATCTTGTTATTAGGATGATTAGTGAGTAGTTTCCCCATCGAGGGGGTGGTTGTGGTGCAGTTGGATCTTGAGCATGTCTTAGGGTTTGGATTGATTTGTTTGTGATTAAATTCTTTATATGCTTAATGTTCTTCAAGATACTTGCAAAGTGCAAGTTGTTTGTTGATTAAGGGTGAATTGATGCTTGATGATGTGACAACAGACCTAGCTAGATTCATTTGTATCGATTTATACTTGATTGCACCTTCTGATATATGGTTCTAATGTGATAGCATAGAGGCTATGTTAGGAGAAACCAATTGACCCCAATAGGTGGCTAGATTGGATCTTACATCGATATTCAAGCATGTCTAGTTCATGATTAATTAAATTCCATGCTTTGTTTATGCATCAGTGAATGCCATGCACAAGTCATTTCCCTTAGTGTTTTATTTCTTGTTTTAGTGTCTTTGGACTTTATTTTACATATTCCCTATCTTGGAGTAGCTTAGTTGTTGATAACATTTGGTAGTGCTTATAATTGTCCCTTGCGGTTTGACCCTTATGCTTACCTTATACTCGTATAGGTTTGTTTAGAATGTATAAATTGTGTTTGATTTAGGCATAGATAATTGACGACGCGTTTATTCCCTTATCATATGGGTAGAGAATCGATCCCAGGATATCACCTGGGATCGGGAGGGAAGCTCTTATCATTTGAGCTATCTTTCACTCTCATAATCACTTGCTATGTAAAACAGTGTTATTTGTTTTATAAAACTCTATAGAAGTTTTATAATTTACTAACCAAACAAGGCCCTATTCCTTTCACTTAAAAAAAAAATCTATTCAGTAGAAAAATTTCATTTCTAATAATTTTTTTTAATCTAATAAAAATAATTCATCAAATAACAATTTAATACTAAAATAGACAGCGAGAATAATACATTTAAGGCCTTATTAGATTCGTAAATTTTTTATTCAATTACAATTTGCATGGCACGAGTTTAAACTAGATTGCAAAGTTGAAATTATGTTCATCAAATGAGGCGTTATTAGATTCGTAGTCGTATATTTTTAGATAAAAATTTAATAAATATTTTCATTTAAAATTGAAGATAATTAGTGTTAAAAAATCGCACATAAAAGGTTAACTATTAAGTATGATCGAAACTTAGGAAATTTTGTTTAGAACTACCCTAAAGATAGGGTCATTTGTGAACAACTACCCCCCTTTTTTTTTATTTGTTAAGAACTACCCAGAAGTTAAGAAAAGTTTGGGTAGCACTACCCATTAACGTTTTTCGTCTAAAGAAATGTTAATAGGGCCCACTTTTTCACTTTTCCCATTAAATTAACTCCCCTAAATACCTTATCTCTCCTCCATAATTAACTTCCTCTAAACCCTAGAAATTAAAACCCTAAATTTAGACTTCCTATCAATTACAATGGCCAATTAGACATTCTACCAATTACAATGGCCAATTGTAATTATAATGCAATTGAATTCAATCTCAAAGTCAAAATAACTGAAACCCAGAACTTAATTGAACCCCCTAAACCCTAGAAATCAAAACCCCTACATTTATTTGATTCCATAAACCCTAATCCGAATCACTAATTACACCCTAATTATGTTAATTACGTTCAATTAAAACATGTAAATAAATACAATAAACAATAAATTAAAAGGAAAGTGTGAAACATTACTTGAAAATAATTGAGAATTTGTGTTCAATTGATTGAGTATGTTCTCTTGGATTTTTGAGTGTGAATTGAGGGGAAGTTAATTAGGGAAGAGAAAGATGGTAATCAGGGGGTTTAATTAAATGGGAAAAGTAAAAAAGTGGGCCCAATAACGTTTTAATTGGACGTAAAACGTTAATGGACAGTGCTAAACAAACGTTTTTTTAACTTCTGGGTAGTTCTAAATAAATAAAAAAAGGTAGTTGCTTACAAATGACCTCGTATGGAATAAGTAAAATCGTAAATTTAAGGTGAATTAAACATAGCCTTACTTAGAAAAATTAGCTTTTGACTTTCTATAGTGATCGCACACAAGTGCACCTTCTCAAAGTGGAATTAATTTTCGAATATTTTTCTAATAGTATTTTCATGCTGCTTAGATACTCTAAAATATTGTAAAGCTAAATCTATTTGAAAAAACCTATAATAATTACATACCTTTTTATCAAAAAATATACTCCATATTTTGTTTTATTTATCTTTTAACTTATAATCTAATGAATTTTATATATTAAATGTTGTGTTATTTCTCAAATTAGATTAGGTCTCAATTTATTTTTTATTTTTTTATGTTTGATTTTTGATATATATATTTATCAAATTTTGTTTATTATATATATGTAAATTGGTAAAGCTATTGTTTTTGTCTTACCATATGTGACACGATCCTAATTAAACCAGTACAATATAAATAAAGGTCAAATTAGTGCATTGACATCATGAAATATATATAGGAAATTTGACTATGTCAGTTTTTAGGTAACACAATACATAAAAGGTCCTTTCAAAATTTACAAATTTATATGGAGTAAGTTTCTGACTTTTGACTGGAATATAAGAGGTCAATGCAAGATAGAGAGTGTTAAATTGCTAATTAATAAATTAATTTGCATACCAATTGGTTGTTGGTGTAGTGGTGATTGGGACTACACTTGGTAGGGAGGACTCGTGTTCGATCCCCCGCAACAACAATTGGGAGGGGGCTGGAACCTAACCACCCAGAACTGTTCCCCGAATCCGGATTAGCCCAAAGGGTGAACCGGATGGAACACTCCAAAAAAAAAAAAAAATTTGCATTGCACTTAGACGTACAACTACATCATCCCTTATGTTTGCACAACTTCTCTGACCATGACCATCTTCAAACAGCTGAAAGTCTTTTACTTAGCTCACTTTGAGTGTGATAGATTAAGCCAAATGCAACTTCCTAGAAATATCATCTAATTCTTACCATTGACCGTTGAGTCAAACCTTAAATTTTCTATTTAACATTCACATTGACTATATAATGTAAATGCTTAGCTTATCAACATTATCCCATAACACCAAATTTGTAAGTTATAAGTTACAAATCAAAACCATAGTATATTATAATGTCGTGTTATTCCAGTGAATGGCCGTATGACCAAGATCAAAGTACTGGTAATTCGAGTTTAATGAGTCATTATTTGAATGATCTAAGGCCAGCAACTAAGAAGAAATCTAGATGCTCAAAAAAGCAGTCACCTGTAACAATATTGAATGCTGATGTATCGAATTTTCGAGCTTTGGTGCAGCAGCTAACAGGCCGCCCTAGCGAGCCTACTAGGCTCAGGGCGAAGAAAGGTCCGCTTACCATTAACTTTAGGCAAGCAAAAGAGGTTGATGATGTTATGTTTCCGTTCGGGTTCAGTAATAACAAGTACCATCATCAGCAGCAGCCTATATATGCTCAACATAAGCAACAAGGTTTTTCGGGACCTCGTGTAGGTGATCATATGATGTTGTTAAGCAATGAGCAAAGCAGTCAGACATCAGTTTCAAGAGTTATTGATCAGCCTAGGATGAATATGGAGGAGTTTGATGATATCAATATCGATAAGTGTTTAGAAGAGCTAGCTAGCATAGATGGGAGTGGCTACCACCACCATTGTTGACAGTAGTGATGTATGATGATCGTTCTCTACTTCTTTTATCTTTTACTTGGTTCACTCTTTAACACTTTTTTCATTGTTGTAATAGACTTGTTTCCTCTTTTAATACATCTGAGATCTGAGTGTGATTTGTGTAAGTGTATTTTTGGCATTTTTTATAACAATTTTTTTTTTATTATTTATTTATTTATTTTGTGTTTTTTGAAAAAACACATTATAGATTTTTTTTGTTAGTAAAAGCACACCTAAAACCATTATTTTTTTTTTCGCAATGTAATAGTTTAACCTGGCGTTACTTTGCACATGTGGATTACATGATCTCATAAAACCACCTTTCTTTATTTTTTTTCCCTTTTCCCTCACCGCCACCACCACCGATTAACTACCGCCCTCACCAGCACCATCTCACCCAATGAAGCTAAGCTACTCCCTTGAAAAACCGGATATTTTACCAAAACGGCTAATTTGAGAAAAATATTTACCAAAACGGCTAATTATAAAATTTAATTCCCAAACTAGCTAATTTATTAACTTGGAAGTAATTGTATCTATTTCTTATTTTTCTTTGAACTTGTTTGGTTCACTTTATTTTTTTTTTTATTTTTTTTTTTGTTTTTCTTAATATTCAAAAAGATTTTTTAAGTTGGAAAATTTAATCAATATACAAAATACGGAGTATGCAAATAGTGGCAGTACTCTAAGTTTGATTAAAAAAAAATGCCTAATTTTTCTTCTAGATCATATCAATCACAAAAATTTGAAATTTGAAATAGTAATGTTCTATCAAGATTATTGCAAATTATACCACGATAAGGGAAATAAAATATTGTTCATCTTTTCTGGAGCAAATAAAATGATTCTATGGTCAATAGTTGTATAACTCTAGTTATTTATAATCAAGACTTGATTGTTCCTACTTGCTTTCTAAATTTTAGGCTTTTATCTTATTCTGATACACCTTTTCTCCCTGTTTGTGCATTAGAAAATTTGGGACTTTAGACCTTAATATATTTTTATCTTTATTATTATTATTATTTTTAATAATTTGTCGATTTGAAGTTTGAATTATTTTTTTTGAATGATTGTTTATACTGTGTAAAATTTTTAAAATTTGAGAATTGTTGCAAATATATTATGTTGAATGTTATTGTTCAAATTAATGGGATATTTTAAACTATGACATTAGAATTTCCCATAGAAAAACAAATTGCAAATTTTTTTATAAAAGCTATTTTTTTTAAATGATACAATTTTTTTATTTTTTGTTTTTAAAAAAAAAACCCATAATATGAACCAAACCGGTTCAAAGGAATATTAAAAATAGATAAATTCCTTCTAGTTTAATAAAGTAGCTAGTTTGGGAATTAAAATTTAAAATTAGCTGTTTTGGTAAATACTTTTGTAAAATTAGCCATTTTGGTAAAAGATCCTGAAAATCCCAACACATCCACCCAAAAACCTCCTCGATCACCCCACCTCTTCGATCACCCCCTTCCTCCATCGAAGTCTAATAGAGCAAGCACTGCACGTACAAAAAAAAAAAAAAAAAAATCAAAGACCACATTGGTGGGCATCCTAAACACATTGGCCCCTCAAAATTACTCCTAATTACATCCTAAATACATTGGTGGGCAAAAATAGTAACCCTAATTTTCAATTACAAACACTAATTTATGAAATTTTGAAAACCCAACATAATTAATAAGATATTTTAGTATTTAAAACACCTTATCTTACTCAAAATTAGGTTAATTGTAGTGATTCAAGCTTTAAAATGGAGGTTCCTTCTTTAATGGAGAGTAATTGAGGCTTGGTTGGAAGAAGAGAAGAGAGAAAAAGTTGAATTTGAGAGAGGGGATCAATTGGAGGGAAAAATTAAGAAAGGGGAGATTCGCCGGAACACGTTTGTCTCACGTGCACTTGCAAGTTAATACCTGAAAACTAAGTCAAATACCGAAAACAAGGGTCAGGTGTTATTTTGCGAAAAAAGTGTTTTATTTTGGTGTGCTTTCACAAGAAAATTTTTATAAGTTTTTTTTTTTTTTTTAATTTTTTATTTTTTTAAAAAAAGGGTTATAAAAGGTGTTTTTTTTTTTTTAAAACTTTTCGTTTTTATTACTAAAATACGTTTCTACTGTTTTTGTAGAGTTGATATTTTTTGTACTACCTCTTTTACATGTTATTTGCAACGATTAGACATTTTTCATCTCTACTTTATGTCAAATCGTTGCAAATAATATGTAACGGAGGTAGTAGTAACTTGCAGAACTATGATAATTTTGAGCTTACTGGGCCACTACAAGATATTAGAGTCTGATCATAATTTTTGACCATATATTTGAAGCCCTAGGTCAAGCTAATTAAAATTAGTTCCGTGAATAAGGACTAGATTCATTTGGAGTTCTAATTTTATTGCAAATCCAAAATATATTAAGCAGAAGGAAATTATGGATCAAGTAAGACGAATCACATAAGACAGAGATTTAAGTTAAAGGCCCAAGTGATCGAAAAAACCCAAAATCGGGTTAAGCTTAGGTCAGTTTTGATCAATTAGTATTATGTGCATCATGGTGTACTTAGAAATAGGTGCACCACTCCTATACTTTTGAACATTTAGTAAAAAAAATTTGGACATGTTACAAAAATATAAACATCTAGTAAAAAAAAATATGAATGCGTCACAAAAACATGTAATTTTTATGTTCATATTTTATAAATAAATGTTCATTTTGTATACATTAAATGTTCAGTTTATATTACAAAACTATTGAATTATTACGAGTTAGACAAACTTCTTTCAAAATTTTTTTGACTTGCAATAATTCAAAATTTGTGATTGTTCATATTTTTTTACTAAATGTTCAAAATTTGTTATTGTTCATATTTTTTTTACTAAATGTTCAAAAGTATATGCGTGGTGCATTGTGTTGGTTCAGATTTTCTTTACTAAATGTTCAAAATTTGCGATGTTCAGATTTTTTTTACTAAAGTTCAAAACTCGCGATTGTTCAGATCATTTTTTTTTACTAAATGTTCAAAAGTATAGATGTGATGCATTGCGATTGTTCAGATTTTTTAACTAAATGTTCAAAATTTGCGATGTTCATATATTTTTACTACATGTTCAAAATTTGCAATTGTTCAGTTTTTTTTACTAAATGTTTAAAAGTATAGGCGTGGTGCACCTATTTCTAGGTGCACCATGGTGCATCTTAAATTTTGCGGGTTTTGATAAGCTTTTATGCCTAATTTAATACGAATTACGGAGTACCTGATTCATATCCTGACATTGGCAGAAAATTAGTTTGATAGCTTTATACAGTATAAGCTTTGACTTTGTTATGGGGGAGTTTTTACAATGGATAAGGGTTTGTTCACTTCAGCTTAATTTCAGTTTAGTTCAGTTCAGTTTAACTCCAATCAGTTCAGTTCAATTCAGCTCCTAATTTCCTTCTCTCTTAAAATATTCATTTCAGCTCTATTCAGTTCAGTTCAATTCAGCTCAGTTTAGTAAATGTGAACATGCCCTAAGTTAGGAATTTGTAGTTTTTTTATCTACTTCGTCTATTTTGTCTTTTCCTATTGCATGCTCATGTTGCATATGAAATTCTGGTTAAATTGTTTTAATTCTTTACAATTAAATTATGAATCGAGTAGGTGTGATTTGATTGTAATAGTATAACAATATTGATTTTATGAATCGAAAAAATGTAATTTCGATATTAAAGACTATTTTCAATAAGAGTTTAGATCTAATAATTTGCGATAGCCAATTAAATATATTATTGTTGATTAATAAATTGCGAGAGCCTGTTAATCATGTTAATTGCAATATCAATCGTTAATTGTTATGTTTTATCCTGGAGTACTTATTATTGATGAATATATGACCCTAGACTTTTTATTTATATATATTTCCCTTAGTTTAATTATTGTCGTAGTATAATTCTCGCAAAACACTCATTTCTAGATTATAGTAATTTTTTAGAAGAAACCTATGTGACGCACGGTTTGTTTGAATTTTTTAATATATATATATTTTTTATATTTACGTACATAAATTTGTTTTATGTTTAGATAAAATTTCTAATATCAAAAGATGATATTTTATATTTAAGTAATTTAAACTTAAAAATCTCATTCGTCCATTTTGCTTGCGTGACATTCGAATTATTTAACTTTAAAAGAAAATTAATAATTATCTACAACTAAAATTTATAATTCTACATGGCTTGCTAAGAAAATTAAATCCTACGTGGCTCTATAAAAACTCGGGAAAAACTCCCCTTTATATATACTAATATGTGCCCCAGGTGTTGCCCCTGATACTCACTATAAAGAGTGCACTTATTTGTGGGCATGTTTTGTATTGTTATTAGTATTAGTATTAGTAGTTATATATATGTATTTTTAAAAAAAATTTAGATAAACGAAATAATGATTCATGACCATATTTTATAATTATAACTAGATGAAAGCCCGTGCGGTGCACGAATTTTCAATACATAAATTAAAAAATATTTTGTATATTCTTAATTAGACTATAAATAAAAAAATTTAATATCTCGTTAAAAATTAATACATATATTTTTTGAGATTTATATTTTCCAATATTTTTTTTGGTTTTGTTATACTCCCATACTGGTTATAATGATTTAATAAATTTTTCTTTTCCTATAATTTTTTTCTTTTTTTTACCATTAATTTGTAAAATAATTTAATTTATGGTGTTTAATTTATGTGGCATCAAAGTATTAAAATCAGATATAATAAGCCTTTTATTATACATTTACTTTTAATAAAAATTACGAAAGTAGAGTGGTGATAAATTTTATCAATGAATATGATATAATTTGTATATAATACTTAATCTTTTTAGTAGAATAGATAATAAATGAGCGGATATTTTTTTGTGTGAGATAATAAGAAATGATATTTCTTTTATTTTAAAGATTATTATATTATATTTTTATATAACCCTAAATTGAATTATTTTTTATTTTTAATTATTGTACATTGTTTTTTTTATCATGTTTTGTAATTTTCATATTTCATCATCGTTGTTATTATTTTTAATCTTGAACATGTTTTTTTTAAACATGTTTAAATTGAACGTAATTTGTATTTTGTAACTTTAATATTTATTTATTTTATTTTTAATATATTGTAGGGAATAATTTCAAGCCTTTAAAATCCCACTAGCTTGAACCCCACTGTGATCATACACTAAAGTACGGTGGCGTCCAAAAGAGAAGAAGATAGAGCAAAAGAGTCGCCAACAAGTTTTTTAGGAACTTGTAAACCGTTCACGAGGTGAAGGTTACACTACCCCTTAACGATCCAAGAGATCGTCAACTCCATAAGGTCATGAACCAAATAAGGGTTCGGGGATGAAGGTACAAATCCAACCTAAAAGAGATTGAACCTGCCCTAATAATAGGCCTCTACTTTATTCTGATCGCATTCATGTGCGCTTTCTGACTAACATGCAATCAATAGGATCAACCCTAAACCTGTTTAATCTATGTTGGTTGAACATTAATGCACAAATAAACTATTATTGGCGATCACTTGAATTATAATCAAAGTTAACCTAACAAGATTATTAATTATCTCATTAAGCGTGATTGCAAGTACCAATTCCCTTTAAACATGCAATAAAGGTGATCAAGCAATAAATATAAAATAATCAACATCATTAATAATAATAATATCAATCATAATCATAATCATGTTAAAGCATAGCAAGATCCTAGGCATGATACTAACAAGATTAATAACAA